TATATATATATATATATATATATAATATACTTTCATTACATCCTCGCTTTATTAAATGTAGTTACGTCCTCACAAATTAAAGACTGTTTGACTTTTTTGAAATTGAAGCTATACATTGTACTAAAAGACGTTGTCACGCTTTTACAATTACAGTGACACTGACGTTTCAGTGTTAGGACGTGAGCATTTAGGAGCTGTACTTTTATGTGTGTTATGTATACAAATTTCATGAAAATGTTGTGATTTTCTTTGTTGGGCTCGAACCAACTTTGGTTAATTAGAAACCAAATTGCAATGATGAAACGTGAAACTAGGATTATTAAAAATTCTCTTACGATTTTTAAACTTTTGACAAAGAATAAATACAGTTGTGGGAAGGATTCAATTATCATAAACATTTCTCAGTCCATTTTATGAATTATTGGACAACAATGAGTTACGTTAGGCTAAGTACAATATATCTGTATTCGTCTCTTCCGAGTAGGCTTCCGGTAATTTATAAGTGCAGACACACAACAGTTTTCCATCAATGGGGAAAATTGAATGGGATGGTACCGTAACCGAATCCACGAAGGGATTAAATATTGAGTGACATTATCTTGACTGTACTCTCTTAAAAATAAGTAAAGTACTCGCGCGTATACCGCTCTAAGTATAATTTGTGCTCTTCTTCGATATCTGATAGATCCTTTCTAAAAGGGTAACGTGACTGTGTTACAAGACGACATCATGTTATTAATGTTGATAAATCACACGTATCAGGTTTTTCAAAATCATTACACTATCTTTGAAATCACGTGATTAAAAAATTATGTGGTATTACAAATAATTACCATGCATCGTGTAACTGTATAAGTGAATAGAACTTCAGAAAGCAGAATTGTATAATTAAAAGAAAAGTAACTTATTGACGTATGGTTTTTCAAATTATGTACCTGAATTAAACTCTTTTTATGTAACATTGTAACGTAATTTTTTTGAAATGGTTATCAAAGTCTTTACTTTTACATGAAAGATACGTGAAACGATGTTTTCAGCGATTGAGCATAAAGACGAGGCGTACAATAAAATGTAAATATTTGAATATTGGAATAGAAGAACATATAGTACTAGGAATGGAATTAGAAGATTTTCAATAAAGTATAAATATGTATGTACTGATTTTTGGTTTTATATTGTTTAATTAACATTTTGTACTGGATTTGTAATATATTTTTTTGTATTCCTAATTTATTTTTTAATGTACGTGTTACGACAATATACTTTGATGATAATGTCCAATAATGTCTGTATTTGAGGTAATTCGGTAATATTGTATGAGTATATCTATTACACACTTTTTACATATGTAACGAATAAAATAATACAATTCTCTGGTTTCGAATTTTATTTGGCGTGTAATAAATAACTGAATAAAGTTTGTAAATTTCATAAAATTTTTAACTGGTACATGTATTAATTCTTTAATAAAAATAATAATTTAAGCGTTACCTGTATAGCTTGTTGCATTAATCTTTCGACATAATAATGTAAAGTTTAACTTTAATAATATTTACCCCAATGATTTTACACATATCATTATGATTGCAAATCATTATACTATAATAACACATCATATCATATTAACTTGGAACAAATGCTTGTCTTGAAAAATTGCCAAAGCAATGTAAGCAAAATGATTTAATATTGACTGCGTTTAGTAGAATAATTAGAATTGCAACCATTGTAACAGGCCACGTATGACTAGCACATGTCCTTATGTTTCTTTGGATCCGAATTTAATGAAATGATGTTAAAAAATACGTCAGTTGCAAAGCTGTTTCTTCTCTAGAGCATAACATCTACAATATGACGGATATTCAGAAATCTTGAAAATAATAATGCGACCCTAATCACACTTCAGTTCATCGAAATATTACGAATGTATATTATAAACTTCGTTTAGGAGATTTATCAGTTGAGAGAGCGCTGAATTCTATTGTTGAATTCTTCTAAATCTAAAAATCTGATTGGGTGATTTAAAAGTATACACCAAAAATGACAATCTCGCAAGTAACTGTTGATGAAAACAGCCATTGCTGTTTCAACTGACAAACAAAACGTGTATAGCTATATGTCCATAGCACATGACAGATAATCACCGACACTATTTCGTTGAGTTGAATACATACTAAACAGCGGATACCTTATCGGTTACTATCTTTATTTCATCTAGTATATTTCCTTTGTAATTTTAGATATGAAGCAATAGAAGTTACTATGGTACCCACAAATTGAAATAAAAGTCCGTATTAACCATGCAGTATCAATACTTTAATTGTAAGGTGTGTGCGAGTACATGTGCGTGTGAGTATGTGTTTATTGGCGATTCTTACGAAAATTGGCATTATACATTTCTACCGTAAGGTCTCTGACTTATTGCTCTGACTACTGCTTATATTACGGTAATGTGTTTTTTAGTGAAATACATCAACCTGTATTTTTTGTTATTTGCAAAAGTAAACTGTGTAGCTTGTTTAGTATAATATCAATTTCTCTATATTTTATAATTTCAATTAACATCACGGTTACACCGTTTTCTTTAAGCAGAAACAGAAGATACGGATTGTTTTGCTTTCCTAAAGAACATTTCTCCGCAGTTTATACGATTCCTGAAACTAATGCAAAATGTCCTACCGGTTCTCGAAAGAATCACTTATAATTATATCTGTATGTATATGAACACTTATAATAGGTATCCATACGAAGACCTTGGATCAGTCGTTCCCAAGTCATTGACGTGCTTATTTATCAGCAAACAATTTCAAATTCGAACGTATCATTTGGTATTAATATACACATCTATATCTTAATTTTTGAATAAAAGTTAATAAATAAATCTAACTATCCAACGTCAGAGAGGTGACTTTATAGTTATAAATATTTGTATTATAACTAACATTAAGTATATGTAACTAAATTTATTTGACACAGGTTTCTGTTACTTGCTTATTACTTTTCGTGATAGCTGTCAGTTTATTATATTTTTATTGTATTTAAAATTATTACTGCTTTTTAGGGTTTTTTATAATTTAGGAAAAGTCTGAAATTGTAAAAGTGTCTAAATATACTTAGAACGTGTAAAGTAGGAAAGTAATATAAAGAACGTTATAGTAAAATGAGTTGAAAAATATCTCTAATGGATAAGAGAGAATCTAAAAATATTAATCAAAATGATGAAACGAATAACGACACAAAAGAAGATGAACACAAACAGCTCGGTAAGAATTATATAGTCCCTAAAAATCCTTCTTAATTTTATTCATGCCATTGAACATTAAAATTTTATCAACAAAATTAATACATTAAATAATGCATCATACGAAGAAACAAAAATTTTGATGTAGAATAACTTTGTCAATAGTCATCGTACTGAGATTTTTAGAACAATACTTTAAACCTATGAATCTGTTCTTCTCACAATCAGACATTTATTTCAAATAAAGACATTTTATAAAGTTTTACAAATAAAAAAGAAGGTGCAACAGATTTCAATATTTTTAACAATATTTGCGAAAATTCCACGTCGCGAATTAAAAATGTGCACTAATACGGTTTAAAAGTAACTGAAAGGGTAAATCTTGGTATTTCAATTTCCTTATTATCGTGCTCTGTACTATTTTCATTATCTGAATTACTATACGTTGATGTAAAAATGAACATTTTGCTTCAACGTTGAATAAATCGGTGAAAAAAATTTTACAGAGGACGACGAAAAAGGAATTTACATACAAAAAACGATTCTATCTTTCCGAAGCCATGAAATTCATTTGTGCATAATTATCATTTCGCACCGTGCAACTTCACAAATGTCCTACAAAACTTTAAGATTTGATCGTTATTTATGATACTCGATCTTTATAAAATATCAGCATGAAATTTTTTGTAGTGACAATGTAAATGGTAGAGATTACATTATTATATAAAATGGTTATTTAAACATTTCAATATAATCTTTTACGAAGTTATTCTCTTTCGAAGTTTGCTTGTTCTTGCAGGTGACGCTTTATTTTGAGTAGAGTATTTTAAAATTTATGAGAATTATGTTACAGTTTTCATTTTTTTCACAACAAGATCTTTCTTTAATTTTAAGATAATCTCTGTAACTCCCCGACAATTTCAAATAAAGAAAATAGAAACATACATGAAATTAGACTACACATATGTAAAACATGTGGTGAAGGGTTTAAAAATAATTGGAGTTTGCGTAGACACGAAAGAACTCATAAAAACAAAAACCCTTACCAATGCGAGTTTTGTAAATATAAATGTGGGTGAGTATTTAAGTGAACAACAAAAGTTAGGAAATGCTTTGGTGACTCAATATCATTGATTAAATTAACTAGTAAAAAATAATAAATATTATAATGTTCCATTTGCAGGCTAAAGGTACAGCTAAGTAGTCACATGATATCAAAACACAAGGATGATGAACGTTTCAAGTCTAATAAGGACCTATATGCTGGAGGGGTATTACACAAATGCGGAACGTGTAATAAAGAGTTCAAGTACACAACGCATTTACGTGACCATGAAAAAACTCATACAGGCGAAAAACCTTATCAATGCGAATTTTGTAAATATAAATGTGGGTGAGTATTTAAGTGAACAACAAGAGTTAGGAAATGCTTTGGTGATTCAATATCATTGATTAAATTAACTGGTAAATGTAATAAAAATTGTAACGGTCGTTTTGCAGGACAAAAGATAACTTAAGGAGGCATGTGGTGGCAATGCATAACAGTGATGAACGTTTCAAGTCTAATAAGGACCTATATGCTGGAGGTAAATCACACCAATGTGGAACGTGTAATAAAGAGTTCAAGTACACAACGCATTTACGTAGACATGAAAGAACTCATACAGGCGAAAAACCTTATCAATGCGAATTTTGTAAATATAAATGTGGGTGAGTATTTAAGTGAACAACAAGAGTTAGGAAATGCTTTGGTGATTCAATATCATTGATTAAATTAACTGGTAAATGTAATAAAAATTGTAACGGTCGTTTTGCAGGACAAAAGATAACTTAAGGAGGCATGTGGTGGCAATGCATAACAGTGATGAACGTTTCAAGTCTAATAAGGACCTACACATTGGTGGTGTATCATACAAATGCGGAACGTGTAATAAGGAGTTTAAGCACAAAACGCAATTACATATCCATGAAAGAACTCATATAGGCGAAAAACCTTATCAATGCGAGTTTTGTAAATATAAATGTGGGTGGGTATTTAATTGAACAACAGGAACTAGGAAAATACTTCAGTAATTCAATATTAATGATTAAATTAACTCATAAAAAATAGTAAATAATACAATGATCGATTTGCAGTCAAAAGGTACATCTAACACGTCACGTGAAATTAAAGCATAACAATGATGAACGTTTCAAGTCTAATAAGGACCTATATGCTGGAGGGGTATTACACAAATGCGGAACGTGTAATAAAGAGTTCAAATACACAACGCATTTACGTGACCATGAAAGAACTCATACAGGCGAAAAACCTTATCAATGCGAATTTTGTGAAAACAAATTTAGGTGAGCATTTAAGTGAATTACAAGAGTTATAGGGAAATGCTTATTAGTAATTCATTATCAATGATTAAATTAACTGGTAAAAATAATAAATATTTTTACGGTCGTTTCGCAGCCGGAAAGATGGCCTAATACATCACGTGAAGACAAAGCATAAAAATGATGAACGTTTAAAGTCTAATGAGGAACTATACACTGGAGGTGAATCATACAAATGCGGAACGTGTAATAAAGAGTTTAAGAACAAAGCGCATTTGCATATTCATGATAGAACTCATATAGGCGAAAAACCTTATCATTGTGAGTTTTGTGGAGATATGTTTAGGTGGGTACATCCTTGAATATCAAGAATAAATGGAATTATTTGGTAATTCGTCCTATATACTTACATTATATTGTAACAAATGATATATTTCTACGGTAACTTTATAGACACATTCGATCTCTGAAACAGCACAAATTTCTGTTTCATTACAATAATTAACGTTATTGCGAATTTAATGAATGTGTAAAGAATTCTCATACTAAATGGTACTTAACTTATCATGTGGACTCGAAGCACGAAGGTAAAAGACAACATCATTGCAAGGTATGTCCTTTAATATTATTACAAATTGAGGACTAACAGCTAGATATGTGTAACAAAGAAGCTCTAATTCAAAATAATAAAGAAATTACAACAAACGTTTTGACGCCGCTCGTGTCATTATCAATGTTACAGTAATTTATAATTATGAAACTATTTGAAACCTATAAAATGTTTCGGTAACGCAGTCCTCATATCCTTTACTGCTTTGAGTACGTAATTTAAAATAGTCGAAGTGTGGTAAAATGTTAAAAGTTTATGAATAAGAAACACAGATATAGTTTTACTAGACAAAGTGTTGAAAATTCATAAAATAAATAATAAAGAAGAACACAGATAGTTGAAATCCTCATCATAGTTATGAAATTATTAGATTTAGAAATGTGAGCAAGTTTGCAATCGTAGTATTACCAAACAAGTGATTTCGACGATGTCAGATAACGTAATAGATACGTATATATATATAATATAGATTACGTTATGTGACACCGTCGAAATCACTTCATGTGGCTTTGTTGTTTTATACGTACACAGCTTTCTGTTATATATTACCTTTAATATTATTATTTTTCAATTCTTTCTTACTTAAACGCCTTTGTGTTTACGCCTCTACGCATTAATTAAAAATATGTTAATCTTCTGTTTCTATTAGAGTCTTCGTTATCAATTCCAAACTGCCACATGTCCGTAAATATTTCGATAGAAATTACACTTTCTCGTTTGTGTGAAAGAAGACTTTATAGAAGATTACTGTAAAGAAATTTAAAGAAAATCAGAACTTTGTGTCTTCAATCGAATTTATTCATTCATAAAAAAATTATAAAATCAATTATAATATTCTTATCTTTTTTCACTTCTATTGCATGTAAATATAACACAATTTAAAAATGTATAAAGAAGACTCTGTTGAATTAAATCATAATATATAAAATGCCAATGAGAACCAGATACTGGATGTATGTGTTTTGTATAATTCTTATAATTAAATTAAAATTTATACATTTCGATCGTGAATACGATCCTTTTCATTACAATTAGTCCTTATATGAAATCTAATGTACATGACAAGTTGATGTCGTTATAAACGTTGTAGAGATTTATTTGCTATGTACAACTTCTCATGTATAACTTCTGTACGTAATTTCTCATGTACATTTGATTTTATATAAGATAAAATTCTATTGAAAAGCATCGTGTTCAAATTTAAGACGTCTAAGTTTTATAATTTAATAAAGAATTTTGCTACACACATACGTTCAGTATCTGGCACTCATTGGCATGTTTTATGTATTATGATTCATTAATAACATTAGGATGAAAAATTGTAATATACTACAATGTGTTTAACATTTAGGATGTCCAGAACTAAAGTGTCGAAACTTCTGGGAGTGTGTAGAATATCGATAAACTATGAAAGAAGGTCTCCTATAAATATATTCGTCTTTGCTGCGTTTTGGAGAAATCATAAAAATGTAAAAACGTTTCACTCTTTGTGACATTCTTCTTCTTTTGAGACATTCTCCCGAGCTAAGCAAAACCAACATATACCTACAAGTATTTTTCGTAGTTCATCGATTTTTTAGCGTTACAAAAGTTTTCACGTTCAAGTTGCATAGACTCTGCAGGAAAAATTATTTATTTTTTAGGATTGCATATTGCAACCATAATGACATAGAAACGAACATGATTGTCAACGGTATAGAGAATCAAATTCAATATATAATATTATAATTACTCTTAATAAAATTATTGCGAAACAACATTGAAAGAAGTTGAGGATACAGATATAAAATTTATACGAGATATAAACTCATTGGTAGCCATTGAGACGGAATCAAATCGATATTGATTCATCTGTCATCCCTTTTTAATGTTATATCGAGCATATTCTTTATAAATTTGAAAAGAAAAACGATATTTTATCAACGCTTTGTCAAAGAAATTAATCTTTTTTCAAAGATTTATTTAAATATAATTTACATTTATGACGTCAAGCTGATCTAAAACTCAATCTATTTCAAACCGTATTGTGTATTCAGGATATATTACACATATTCTAGAAATGCAGTTGTATATCCTATTAGGAGAAATTTTTTTCGCTTAAAAGTTTTTATTATATGTTGTAATATGTTATAATAAAATACGGACGTCAAAAGTCATTTTAGTAACATTTACTGTTAAAACCTTTTTTGTTATTTTATTGTACATACAAATTGCACACGTTTTGTTATATTTTGGCGATATTAAGGGAAAAATACGAAAGATGTTATATAAATGGTATAACATCCATAGAATAGTCTCACAATGTTAAAAAAAAATTATGACCGTAATAATTTATTTTAAGAGTTTATTATGTTTATGTGTCAATCAAAAATCATTTTTTGTGTCTATAGGGATTGACTTGTAATATTGATAAAGCGTTTAAAGTACGAAACATATCAGCTCTCACTGTATATTCTTTTAAATTACTTAAATGTAATTAATAGTTTTACTTACGTCTTCGCCTGATTGAATGTAGTACTCTCATGCGAATTAAAAACAATACCTATATGACTTTCCTCTGGAATTAAAGCTACACGTTGTATAGTACTAAATATAACGTTCATTCACTTTTGCAGTTACAGTGACATTTCGTTTCACTGTTGAGACATGAGCAATTAGGAGCTGTACTTATATGTTCGTCATGTATACAAAGTTTATGAAAAGTCATGAAATATCGGTTTTCTTTGTACGGCTCGAACTAACTTCGATATTGCAATGATGAAACGTGAAACTGTGATTATGATGAATTAACTTATGATTTTTAAACTTTTGATTAAGAATAAATGAAATAGTTGAAAGTATTTAATTTTCATTTGTAAGTCCATTTTATGAATCGTTGGGTATCAATGAGTTGCGTTAGGCTGAACGAGTTTTTGGTGCGCACTCAGTGCTGTCCAGTGAAACGCGCTATGAGTATATCCGTGTTCATTTCTTTCGAGTGCGCTTCCGGCAATTTACAGACAACAGTTTTCCATCAATGAGGAAAATTGAATGCGAGGATACCGTAACCAAATCCGCGAAGGGATTAAATACTGAATGATATTATCGCGATTGTACGATTTTAAAAATAGATACAATATTCGTATACCGCTTTGTATACCGCTTTGTATACCGCTATAAGCATTATTTTTATAAGCTCTTCTTTGAAATCTGATAGATACTTACAAAAAGATAACGTGACAGAGTTACATGACGACATCGTGTAACTGTATATGTGAATAGAACATTAGTGGGCAAAATGATATAATTAAAAGAAAAGGAACTTTTTGACGTATGATTTTTCAAATTATGTAGTTGAATTACACAATTTTTTATGTAACCATGTGACATGACTTTTTTTGATAAGGTTATTAAAGTCCATACTGCTACATGTAAGATACGTGAAACAAATACTGTTTACAGCAGGTGAACGTAAAGACGAACACAAAATCGTATTAAATAATTGAATGTTGGAATAGAAGGATATATATCACTAGGTATAAAAAAAGAAAATTTTTAAAGTATAAAGAAGTATCTATGTACAGCGAGTCATCGTAAAGACGAAGCATACACAAAGAGTACAGTCAACGCAATGCTACAAATGCTTTGAAGCGTTTCTTGATTGGTCAATTTGTAAAATTCTTTTTTCTGATTGATTAATCAAATACTTCAAAGCATTTGTAGCGAGACTTCAACCGCACTAAATGTATAGCATACATAAATGTATATCTATTAAATAATTAAATGTGTTGTAAGAGAAAATATATATCACTATAGAAGTGGAATAAGATAATTTTTAAAGAAGTTTAATATGTACTAATCTTATGTTTTTATTTTTATTCGTTAATATTATAGTTTGTAATTGATTTGGTACATATTTTTTTGCATTTCGATTTTATTTTTTAATGTGTGTATTACAACAACTTTCTTTGAAGGTAATGTCTAATAATGTTTGTATTTAAGGCAACAATGTAATTTTGTATAATTATTAAAAATTATTATATATGTATTTGTACTGAATAAAATAATACAACTTTTTGGTATCATATTTATATCTTCCACGACAAATAAAAAACTGCAAAAACTTTTGCATTAAAATTTTTACTGATACATATACAGATATACTAATTCTTAAAGTCACTCCAGAATTTTCAAAAAATCGTTTTTTTTCTTTGGTCAAATGATGCTTTAAGATCTTAGAAAAAAGGTACAAAAGACCTTATAGCAAAAAGAACTTGTGTTATTTTTGGAAGTTTAAAGTGTCGAACTTTTCGGTAAGATTTGTAGCTTTTGCGAAAGTGTCATTCTAAGAATAATAAAAGAATTAGTTACGTGCGACTCGATCATCTTTAAAATCGGCCAAGAAGGATCAGGAGGAAAAGAACATTAACGAGGAAGGCCTATTGTATGACGCAGGCATCGCATATTAAAGTTGAACATTTCTATCGCTGATTATTAAAACGCATTCTTCTCGAAATCTTTCTTTTCAAGCGAACCGGAAATAATTCCCACAAGTCTTGACTGGTTTACTTAAAATTTTTATAATTGTAGCATCAAAATTGAATTCTCTAGAAAAGGACGTACGGACTTTTTGTAAGTTGCATACTTTTTTTCAAATAAGTTCATGTTTTTCATCTATTCTTTACCCTTTAAATTTAACATTGACTTAAAATTTGCACCATTTGCTCACAAAACCGGCAAATTACAATTTGTTCTAGCTTAAAAATTGCCGAAGTTATCGTTATGGTCGTATAGCATCATCCGTGAGAAGACATTACTATTGCAGAGCTGTAGCACCGCCATTTTGTAACAGAATCACTAAAAAAAAATATTTTTTTACATCTGAATGTACTAATTTTTGGTGCTGTAGAGTGGGTATACCCCTTAAATAAAAATAATAATTTAAATGTTGCCTCTATAGTTTGTCGCATTAATTCTTCGACATAATATAATGTGTAGCTTTAATATCATTTAACACAATAATTATACACATTATGATTCCAAATCACTGGCTAATAAGACATTTCATATTAATTTGGAACAAAATTGCATCTCTCCAAAAATTTATGAAACGAAATAAACGAAATAATTTAAGTAACTTAACATTGACTGCAAACACAAAATTCGACATTTCAAACACAGTAAAAATCAAGGTTTCTGTATGAAACTCAAAGCAATATAAACTGAATATTATTAGCAGATGTCTAACTGAAACCGCCAAAATCAGCTGTCTCTATGAACCATTCACAACAACCGGAGCCATTTTTTGGAAAACGGATCGAATTAATTTATTGTACTCCCAATACATTAGCATGAATATTTAAATTGTGGAAAAGGAATTTTTATTCTGCAAAATTATTATAAAGAAATTAGACAGGAACGAAAACGTCAAAAACGCTAGTTTTATCGATAATACAGGCGGGTCCAGCATCACTTTAAGTTTTATAAAAATTGTTTTGTTATAACAACCATCTTACATAAAAAATATATCTCTTATTTTATGTAAAAAAATATATTTTTAATGTTTTTTCGTTAGAAAATAAGAACTGTTACTTTTATCTCTATAGTGTGTTACTTTCGTTCTAAACCCCAGGATAAAAGTAACAATCGATGTAGTTGCAAAAAATCAATATAACTCTTAAAATGTGTATCACAGATGAAATAGTAGAGTAAGAATGCGAATTTCTTAAGCATGTAAAAAATGTTACTTTTATCCCCCGGCCTTTCCTATGTATTATAAAATTATTTGGAATGGATTTCGATCAAATATTCAATAATTATTAATTACTTAGATTTTTATTGTTTTATAGAAAAAAAAAATTGTAAGAAATCAACTATAAAGATCTCCCTGTCGAGCTGTGTGGCTCCGCGGCAAGATGGTGGCTTGCTAACACGAAAATTACTACAAGGTCTCGATTCGAGTCATCACATTTGAGAGTCCGACATTTTTTCTCAGCCCAGCTCTTACAAAATTATAATTTTAATCGGATTTCATTCCAAATTCCATAATTATAAATACATACCAAGGTGAAGAAAGAAAACTAATTAAATTTTGTCTAAAATTGTATTTATATCAAGAATTTTCCAAATTGCTCAAATATCTTTACTACATATAAATTTATCATACTAAAATGACAGTACAATTCCTTATTTAGGAAGCAGAAAAATACAATATTATAAGAAACAATCGCATTCATAGTTTTTACAATTTATGATTACGTTAAGATTGAATTCAATCTGATACAATAATCTTGAGTTTTATTAGCCTATCTAGAATCACAGTAGAGTGTAATTATAAGTAATACAATATAGAACGCGTTCTCAGATTTCTATTATAATGATACTATTTATTCTAGAAGTTATCTAAGTATTAAATAATTTTCTATGAAAAAGACAATGTTGTTACAAAATGCATTTTTTCTCATTTGTTCTTTTCAAAAGATGCATTTACATAGAAAAATTCATGTTTCATGATAGCCTTACATCTAAACTAATAGTTAAAGTTTTAATACACTAAAATGCAATTCATTTTTTGTTTAATAAAGCAATATATAAACTACAGCAATATTCAGATAAAAGGCATGGTTGGTTGAACTTAAAATGTACAAAGGAAAGATTAGCGTAGCTTCTCAAAAAAATTTGTGGCCTAATAGATAAATAATGATCTGCCACTGCAGATAAGATAGACAGTCTTCAAAAAATACATTATTAATTGATATGCAACATGAACTCTTCGCATGTGTGCAATGTGTTCAAGTATTTTGTTGCATTTGGTTAAATTGTGCCTCAAAAACTAAAAATGAAACGCAATTTCATATAAATATTGTTATATATAAATATTTACATGAAATTTACGAGATATTTAAAAGAAATTAGACTAATGATTCTTGCTCTTATTTCAGCCTTTTGCATTCGTTAATTGCACTAATGCTAGGCAAATAAAGATTTGGAATGATAACAATCTGTCATGATCATCAAGTGTAGGATCCACATACATTTTCCACAAATTGTCTTGCAAATGCTATATAATCAAAACTTACATAAGAAAAGTCTACAGTTTTCATATTACATATGATCTACAATCATATATAATATTTGTTACTTCTAAATTATAGCAATGATTTCTATTAAATAGCAATGTTTCAATTGATTACATCTATAATCTAAAAAGATATTTTACATTTCTAGCTCTCATTATGCGTTAAGAAAGTCAACATATTTTATTTTATTTATTTTATTTTATTCATTTACGTTATCACTCTTGCTTATTTATACTTCTCCACTTTTATCAAATTTTTTAAACTTACTTGAAATTCTGATTTACAAATATCCTTTTTCACTTTCAGGTTATTTATTTAAATAGAAAAGTTATGAGTGCTACGACTGAATTTCATCAGATTGTATTTTATCAGATTTATCAGATTTATCAGATGTATCAGATTTATCAGATTTATTCTCATCTAATAATTCCTTGGCTTCGGATTCAGGAACGTCAGATGTGTCGCCTGGTCTTTCAACTACTTCAATATCTGAATCTAAAAAATTGTACAAATATCGATAATTATTCTAGCATCCAAATGTATTATTCACATACTAGAGATTAAAAATATTCTCAAATGTATTCTCCTAACGAACTCTCCAGATTCGAAAACATGAACTCCAGTAATCTAGGGTGATGAGAGTGCGGCATGGTACTTTGTACGCAAATCAATAATCCGTGGATTTGTGTAAAAAAGATCCTTTCATAAGACTCCAACTAATACAATATTAATATACTTCCTTCGTATCGATAATTGGAGTCACATTAGATTTACAGATTTGATGTTGAAATCTCTGTTAAAATTTAACATATTAATAAAATATCTTGAAACATTGGATTGATCTATTTTACAAAAATAATTACCAAGTATTATTGCAGATTAAATTACTGTAGTGATTTCATGACACTGACATATTTTATATTTCAAAATCTATAAAAAAGATTGATCCAATGTTTCAAGATGTTTTCTTTGTATTAATATTAGATGAGTCATTTATTAATTTTATTATTTAACGTTTAAATACATTATTGATACATTAAATTTTAACAGAGATTCAATATCAAATCTGTAAATCTGATGTGATTCTAATAATTGATACGAAGTATATTAATATTGTATTAGCTGAAAAAGACTCCAAAGTGAGTCGAAGTTCTAATTTTATGAAATAAAGGATTTTTTTTACACAAATCAACGAATTATTGATTTGCGTACGAAGTACCACGCCGCACTCTCATTCGCCCTAGATTACTGGAGCAGGGTTGCCACAAGTTTTTAATCGTAAAATTTCCTGACATTTCTTTGATTTACTGACAAAATTTCGAGATTTTTCCTGACTTTGAATAATACATAATTTGCAATGTTTCTTTTATTTTTATTGTAATACGGAAAATGTTAAATATTTTGTTGATCCAGCAAAGTAACATAGATGCACATTTTCTTCAGGAAAAAAATTTAAAAAAAAAAAAAAAACAAAAAAAAGGTAGTCCAAACCAATCATAGAAGCACAAAATTTATTTACAGCTATTTTATTTTCCCTAAAAAGCGTGTTAAATCCCTTATCCAGACTTCTATGACGTGTTTTTTTAAATTCTCTGACATTTTCCTGACTTCCCAGATTTTCCTGACTTGTGGCAACCCTGTGGAGTTTGTTTTTATTAAAAATATTGACAATAAATTAAAATAAAATTATTAGAGAAATTAATATATAATATAAACATAAATAATAATAATAGAAATGATATACCTGTATCCGAATGTGTACCTGTTTCCAGCTTATTGTCAGTAGGTTTTATTGTTTCTTCGTGTGTATTATGAGGTAAATTAGCTTCAGAATTGGATTCCATATTCGAATTTATAATTGTAGGATTATTGCGATCTAATTTTGGAGCAGAAGACTTTTGTTTTCTTGCAGGATTCCAGAAATTACAGTAAGAACATCTAAACGCTACAAAAATATATGTATTTATATTGTGTATATTAAAATATATTTTAAAGGAAAACTTTCTTCTAAAAAATGAACATCTTACCGAAATATTCAAACTCTTCTTTCAAAGCCATTCCATTGTGAGAATTACATTGCCGACAAATTAAAGCATAACGATTTGAAGGACCATCACCTACTAAATAATCAACCAAACGATCAATAACTGTTCTTTGTTGTGGCAATATAGGTCGTGGTAATGGTGATCCTAAAGTCACATATATGCATTAAGTTTTTTATGATTATGAATGAATTTATATGTGAAATACTTTATAATATATATAAGTATTTAGTACAATATTTTTTCGAATCATTATACATATATATTATATATTTACTTACGATAAGCTATGGTCGCAGGATTAATATTTCTAGACGGAAAAGAAGCGTTTAAAGGTTGATTAATCGATCTAATGGTAGGTGAGGTTTGACCAGAAGCAGGTACACCCATTTGTGTATTTTGTGGATGATTTACAATTCTTCTTCTTAAGTCACTATATACAGGAGATACTACAGCCTGTGGCGTAGGACGTCGAGGTGTCTCAGATGGTACGGACATCCTATGGGGTATAAGCTACAAACAAAATCATTAAATTTGTATGTTTTCACATAAAGATATCTTTTAATATAGTTTATGTTTTATTTTCTCTAGTTTTGATATAATTTTATTTTATTATTATATACTTTTACGTTGTAACTCGTAAATATTACGTTCCGAAGTACAAACCTTTGGAGTTAACTGTAAGAAAAAAAATCTAATGAATATAAAGTCAAATTTACAAGAAAAGATAACGCAAAATAAGACAATATAAATTATATTATAATACATATAGTATTATATATATAATTTTAGCTTTCTTTGTTTAGCACTATTCAACTAAATATTTAAATAATATTTAATCAGATTCATAATATTTAAATAATTACAAAAATAACATAAATCTACTTACAGGTGACATGTTTAATTCGTCTGGTGCAAATTTTAATAATATTTCTTTAGCTTTCTTGTACGTCTCCGTTTCGGTAACTTCGTTTAATATCTTCTTTTTCTCTGCCATAATTATAGACAATTTTTCTCGGTTATGAGTAATTTTACGATTATAATACCATGAAACCATTTTCTTTGTTAAAAGTACTCTGAAAAAAATTTATTTCACATTTTTTATCTAAAATGATCACATTTTTTTATCTAAAAAAAATTCATATATATTGTACGATTAAAATCAATAAATATATTTGCATACTTACAAAATTGGGAAAAATAGTAATGGTGTTATATAAAATATCTGATCATATAATGATGCAGGGAAATAACAAAAGTAAAAGATGAATGCTATCATAATATATAGGAGAACTCCATAAATGATAATAGTTCCTACTATCTTTTTATGTTTTTGCTCTGTAGTCTGTCCATATTGTTGGATGTCTTTAATTTGCTGTTAAAAAACAGGAAGTTATGTAATGCTATTTTATAATATATATCACGCAATAATAATAAAATAATACTCACTGTCTCTAGACTCTCCAAAATTTCGATGGTTGTCTTCTTTTTCTGAAAATCATATACTTTACATTATAATGTAAATGTGTATACCTAATTAATTAAATGTCATGCAAATATATTTCTTTATATAAAAAAATGTTTAATAAATCATAATGGTAAAGAATAATTTCTTAAAAAATAAATAAAACTGTGGTACAAACTTTTCTATAATATTCAATACCTTTATAGGTTTTCTATAAAATATTATGTACTGAGTATTGAAAAAACAAGATAGGAAAAATAAAATTTAGGAAATACATATTTTTGTATTCTATATTTATGGAGTAAACTTTGAACAGACATGTGTATGATTAAAAATACAAAAGTAAACTAAATAGCTAACTAAATAAATACCGAAAGGTAATTCGATTTCAGTTTACAAAATAACAACGCATATCGTTTATGCATTCATATTATAATTTCCTCGCAATGACGCGTGTAAATTAGAACAAAGTTCGTCATTGAATGTTAATGTTTGGGTCTCGCAATACCCCTACGGAATAAATTTATCGTCCGTTTTTGTTTACTCATGATAATGGTGGGCATCGGAGAAATCGTTTTGCACGACAAACTCAAGGACTCGTATACACGCGATTGTTTAAAAAAGATGCCAGATAAAAAAACGTAATCATACGGCTAGTTACGCGCCGTCTTGCGTCTCGTTAAATTTAGAAAAAAAGAACCCAAAGTTGTGTCGCTTTGCGCCAAGGTTAACGCAATCTACGCGATTACGAATCTGTCATCCAAACGGATTCACGGCTATAAATAGGACATGAATGACATTTAGAATTATTGTTCGTTGTTCGTTTAACCGCGGATAGATAAGTGCGGATAAGTACGGTTGATGTTAACCTCAACGAAGTACGCGATTACGAATCTGTCATCCAAACGGATTCACGGCTATAAATAGGACATGAATGACATTTAAAATTATTGTTCGTTGTTCGTTTAACCGCGGATAAGTACGGTTGATGTTAACCTCAACGAAATGTCAGAAAGAGAGTTCGGTACTCACCTGAAATCTGGACAGTATTATTCCCATATTAACGGTAATTACGACGAAGACGGATTATACGTAGAGATATCCTCGTTGACGATCGATCGCAGACACGGGTACTTATCGTGCCGAAACCAACATAAAACTGCCTCCCAATCGTTTTAAAATAGTCCTCTTGTCCTACCCCTCGGGGGCCGGTTATGTGCCGTTCGATACGATCCAAATTTAAATCCCCGCCGCGCCGTTTGTGTCTCGTTATTTATAACCTGGAACTGTTTACGGGATAATCTGGCGCGTCGTCGCCTCTCGGATAATTTCTATCATGTTCGGCTTGATGGTGAAAGAAGGAAAATATATGGAGATCTGTGGAGACCGCTCCAGCTGTCAACACTACAAACTCCCGAACGGTTCGCAAACAGACGTGAACGTACTCCGCTCCACGCACTCATGTGCGACTCCGGTCCACTCCGGTCTAGCTAGCCGGAGGATGCCGAAGGAGGACGGAATCATGCGTTCGAAAACTCACGAAGACGTAAGCGTGCCGGAATCCTGAATAACCGTCACCGTCAGTTTCTCTCGACCGAAATTAAATTAAATCAAACCGGATCGCGCGATAAAAAAGCTGGCAGAAACCGGCTTTCCATGCGATATCTATATACGTCCGATACTCGACTTGATGTGACTAATCACTTTAATGATAGTAATGGTTGAGCATTGGAATTCATTATCGTTCAAAAGTGCAATGGTAGAATACTAATTTTGCAGGGTTGGCTCATGCAGTCTGCAGGCTGCGTCAATCAAATAAGAAGGGCGACGACGATAATGGAAAAAATATATATGCAAAGAAAATAAAGATTGACGGTAATATAAATTTTGTAGCTAATTATTGTAGCTAATTAAAAGTTTTGAAATTTTTTAACATTATAGATATTTGACTGAATTTTCGATGTTCCGAAAGTCATTGAAAAGTGACTGACTTGTGTATTAATTCTTTTTTGAAATTACTCATTTTAATATACATTAGAACACATTTAAGACTGAGGCGTATGCTTCTTTTCTAAACTTTCACAATGACTAGTTGTATATTTATCAAATATTAAATCGTTTAATTGCCGTTTTTTTTTTTTTTTTTTTAAGTAATGAATAGTGATATTTAAACCGCTATTTTATTTGTGTGTTTTTTATTGTACATACGATAAACTTTTCAAGCCTGTTGATTGACCGCAGGACAAACAGGTTCTCGGATCTCTCTGCAGCCAATTAATATGCTTGAAAAATTTATCGTACGATAAATGTAATATCAGTATGTAGCCTTAAATAAACAGCATAATCTAATTAACACGTAGAGCTTTATTGAGCGCAGCAGTTGAATGAGTCCGCTGTTATTGGTGTATTCTTCTAGATTATCCAATCAGATCTTACATGTAGAAGAATGCACCAATAGCAGCGAGCTTTCACTTAACTGTTACGTCTGCTGAATGCGTCAAATGTCACATCAATCATCATTCTATCTTTGTCGTTCATTAGATGCAAAATAAGGATAGAAATGCTGGAAGCGTCCAAATCGAATGCAGTCTGATGCAGTCCTTGGTTCTGCACAATGTTAGGTTGTGAAGTACACGTGTTGTATCATTTGTATCAAAGAGAAATCCAGAGAAACCTTTCTCTCTGTTGCATGTATTACTACATTAATGCACGTACGTCATACCTGATCTACAATTACGTAAACCTAGTTGTAAGACTTCTCCAATCACAGTTCGATATTTTTCTCGTATTTAACTGTAATTGGTCAATCCTTACAACTACGTTTAAGAATTGACTAATCACAGTTGAATACGAGGAGAATATTCGACTGTCAATTCTTATAACTACAACCACTTAAGGCGAGAAACACAAACTTTTGCATAACGCATAAACCATATACATAAAGAATTTGATTGGTTCATTGACTCATGCATAAGAAAGTGGGCCAATGAAATTCCTTACGCACATGCTTTATGCGTTATGCAAAAGTGTGTGTTTCTCGCCTTACAGTTCTACGTTTACGCAATTGTAGATCGGGCTTTAGAGATCGCATTCGTTTATTGCTGCGAACAGTAATGTAAGATAATTCTACCTTCGAGATAGGTTATAAGCTCTAGTTATAAGGTGGGAAGAGGGTTTGGATAACCGCCTGGGGATCTATTCTTGAAAAGAATGACGTATACGTTTCTTTTCAAGAATAGAGCCCCTGGGGTGCGTTCCGTTTCACGCATGGACCGCTGGAACGCGCATCACATGCGCGCATTAGCTCGATTCTTTTTCCCTATGCGCATAGAGAAACGGAACGGATCCCATGCGGTTATAAATAGACGGCGAATTTCTGTTATTATCGGTATTATTCCTGTTACTCAGTACTTGTAATTTTGTAGGTGTTTTATTCGCACAAACTCTTTCATTTCGCACAATATGGAATGAAACGGAACGCCTTCCATGCTCTCCATGCGCATCATGCGTGAAACGAAACGCATCCCTGTATTCAAAAGGAGATGACGTCTCCGTGGAAAATGGCGGGGAATAAGAAACGACGACTGCGTGTCGAATCAGTAACGGAAGGATATCTTCACAAATGTCAGGGCCCCGATTCTCTAATCCATCGTAACAGAAACGTATACGAAAAATTCGACTGGTAATCTTCATGTTATTTGTAAGATTAAAAAAATGTTTCGAATTGTTAACTGCGTTCGACTCTTTATAGCCTTTTAATTTATGTTTGTTAGGGTGCAGTCACATGGAGTCAGAAATAACGGAACGGAACAGTAACGGAACATTGATAGAAAAGAGATAGAACAATCCTATCTCTTTTCTATCAATGTTCCGTTCTCATTCCGTTCCGCTATTTCTTTCTCCATCGGGACGCACCCTTAAGTTGTTTTGAACAAAAAGAGTCCATAACTAGTTTATATATATTTATTAAGATTTTTTGTATACGAAAAATTAGGGAAGTGCTACAGTACACGTTACGTGTACTATAGCATTTTTCTAATTTTTCGAATAAGTTTCTCTTACGATAGATTAGAGAACCGGGGCCCAGGAACGAAAAGACATCTCCACAAATGTCAGGAATAATCAATAAGTCAAGGATACTTAAGGAAAAAGGCAATAACGGCCTCTTGTACTGGTTAAAACTCACTTTATTGTGACACTCTCCGTCCGTACTCGGCAACGTTCACCGGCCAAAAGACACAACGCACGCCACTGTTTCTCGCAGAATGCGCATTCGTCTTGCGCACGCCGTTGTATTCTCGACCAATCCTCACGCATGGACCTTGGTCCGCCAATTCGAGAATCCACGTGGTCTGAAGGACCAATCCACGCCACAACACAACTTGCGCATTCGCATTATTCTAACTGAACTTTAAGTGCGCCACCATGGTGCGCCACACTCGTGGCGCGGTATCCTAACCTTAATTTAGTAAATCAATAATGTTACTTTGAAATCTGTCACGAACGTTATAAACAACTATGAGTTTTTCTGTGTACGAGTCGTACGTTGCTCTGTGCAATAATGAACGCGTGATAATATACGATATTGACAATAATACCGAAAATACGATAATTTTGCCTGATCTGGAGTCGAAGAAAAAAATTGACGTGCACAACAACGTGGATATCGAGGCTTATCACATGATAACGTCTCTGGAATTTTCAGAAGATGGGAAATATTTTGCGTTATGCACGAATCGTAAGCAACTGTGCCTGTATGAAACGAAAAATTTGAAGCTCCTGTCGAATCGAACACTCATTAGGGCTGCAAGCAGAGTGAGATTCTCACCGAACAATGATATCGTGATAGCAGATAAGGCTGGAGATGCTTACCTGTTTTCCACCAGTCGTCCAACAGAACCTGGAACCTTCATCCTGGGACACTTGTCGATGCTTCTTGATATACTTGTCACTCAAGATATGAAGTACATTCTAACAACTGACAGAGATGAAAAAATAAGAGTTTCCATGTTTCCCAACTGCTACAACATTGTATCTTACTGCTTGGGACATGCGAAATTTGTGACGAATATCTCAGAATTGCCTCATGAGAAGAGCATCCTAATATCATGCGGTGGTGACGGAGTTTTTAAATTGTGGGACTATAAATATGGTAGCGAACTACTGTCTGTCAATTTTTGTGATAAGATATCAAAATGCGACATAGAAAGATTTAATCAAGAGCTCTGTGACTGTCAGTATGATGAATCTGTGGATATACTGCCTGTCAAGTATCTCAAAGTATATTATCTTAATAAAATAGAATCTCTAATTATAATAAGTTTTTATAGTAGCAAAGTACTGTTAGTTTATAGGATTAGTGGCAACAGTAACATCCAGTTGAAAGCAAATTATTTAGAGACTATAACAGTAGAAACTGAACCTATCGAATGTCTTTTACACAAACAAGATTTATGGGTATTAACAGATATAGGATTACAAGTATTCAAATTCAAAAATGATAGGTTTGTAACTCAAAATGCTTTAAATTCGACAATTAAGTGTCTTAATGCCTCTTGGCAAGTTTTAAAAAATACTATTGTTAAACAAAATTTGTTTCCCATTTTATATAAGAGAAAATATGATAATGTACAGGAATATCAAGAAAAGAAAAAAATTCGTTTTGCAGGCAGTACAGAATAGATTATAATTCTTACAAATATTATAAATACAATACTCAGTATTTTGTAAAGTATGCAAATAAATATTTGCAGTTAGCAAAATCAGGAAAAGAAACAAAGATTTCTATATTTTACACCAACATTTTAGACTATACTGATGTTATTAATTATATCATATAAATTTACTAATGTGTTAATGCTGAATAAACTGTCTTCTACATAAATATAAATTTCATTATAGAAAATGAAAAAAAATTTTAGTAAGACAATATTGAATAATCCACTTAGGTCATAAAAATTAATAGACGTCTAATATACTTTTGAAATGTAAAATCATAATATTATACATCAAATTACACAGGTTTATAATCTAGTTTCGATTCGAGTTTCTTGTTATCAGAAACCTTTCTGACAGCTTTCATAAAATCTTCTTGTATTACATATTCTCTTTCTAATCGTATTGCAAACAAGCCAGCCTCTGTGCACACATTTCTTAAATCAGCACCATTGAATCCATCCGAGAGTTTAACCACTGCTTCATAATCTACATTTACATGTATATTTATATAAAATGGTAAAATGAAATGTTTAAAATACTTAAAACATTAAGGCCCGGTTGCACCAAAACTTTTTGATTTTAAGCGAGACTTAAAACTATCTATCTTGTTTTAAAGCCGAAAGAGAGACAGAGACAGTTTAAGTTTCGCTTAAAATCGAAACCACGTTGGTGCAATCAGGCCTAAGAATAAACTAATTTCTTACCGATTTCACCATGTTTGGCAATTGGCAAAGCATGTATCTTTAAAATCTCTAAACGGGCTTGTTCATTAGGAAGTGGTATTTCAATCTTTCTATCCAGTCTTCCTGGTCGTAATAATGCAGGATCTAAAGTATCAGGTCTATTTGTAGCCATTATCATTTTAACTTGGCCCAAAGAATCAAATCCATCCATTTGATTCAACAATTCCATCAAAGTTCTCTGAATTTCTCGATCAGCACTTGTTCCTTCCGAAAATCTGCGACCACCTATGTATATATATATTAATTTTATTAATATTTAATCTATAATTTTCTCTCTTGACTTAGATATTTTTTTATTTAAAAATATATACTCAACCAATAGCATCAATTTCATCCATGAATATAATACAAGGTTGATGATCACGAGCGTAATTGAACATCTCTCTAATCAATCTAGCTGATTCTCCAATATATTTATCAACAATAGCACTTGAAACAACTTTCAAGAAATTTGCATCTAACTGACTGGCAACAGCTCTTGCCAATAATGTTTTTCCAGTACCCGGAGGACCATATAACAAGCATCCCTTGGGAGGAGTGATTCCAACTCTTTGGAAAAGTTCAGGATTTAATAATGGTAATTCTATAACTTCACGCAATTCGCGTATCTGTTCACTCAAACCACCAATTGCAGAATAAGTCACATGGCCAGGATCTTCATGAGACATGTTATAAACTAATGGATCTACCTAAAAAGCAACAAGACAAATAAATTTTTAAAGAATTGAAAACCAATCTTTTAAAGATAAATCAATGAGTTTTTTACCTCACGTGGCAAATAACGCATGATTGTAAGAGTTGTCATATCTAAGGCAACTCTAGTTCCCGATTTTAATTTATTTTTGTCCAATTGACGTCGACATCCAACAACGTAACGAGGACCATTTGTTGCTTTCACTATAACTGTACAACAAATTAAATCATTGCCAGATAAGTATATTTATTATGTTAAATGTTTATCGGATTCTTTTTTACAAAATGTAAATAGCATATCACTAATAAAACTTGAAATCTTTAAAATTAAATGTAATGAGATAGAGATGCATATGCATTAGTCGATGTAAATTAGTTACTTACATTTTTCTTCTGTAAGTTGTTTCAATACTTCTCCAACAATCTGTATGATAAAAACCGTGAAATACAGAACATAAAGATAATCACAAATTATGAGTTCCAATATTTTGACAACATACCTGTCCAACACTTTGTAATGCCTTTAAATCATTTTCAGACTTGTCATATTGCTTTGTCAGATCCTTGAGGTGTTCTCTCACTAGAAAATACGTATATTTTATAGTATTTAAAATAAATTAATTATATAAGATATAAAATAAAAAGCTCCAAAAAAATATCAATACAATATTAAAAGAAAAACGTATCTATGAATAAAATATAGAATAAAGAAAGCTTAAGAAGAGAGATGTGAGAGGTTATGAGTCTTCGATGTGTATACTTTGTAAATGAAATTTTATTATATAAAATTTATAATATTTATAAAAATATCTTACTTTCCTTGAGACGTGACTCGACTTCTTTATGTTCTAAAAGCTTCTTTCGATAATCTTGAAGCGCTTTTTCTCTTACAGAATCCATGGTGACCGCCATCTTTACTTATTTTGCTGTCTAACTGTCATCGATAGAATTTTTGTAGATAAACCAGACATGCGTTAAAACCGTCTTGCAACTGTTGGAAATTTTCTTCGCATTGATTGGAAAAAGAGATCTATTATCATCTGACAGTTTGTTTGACTCCTATTAGAACGTGACTTTAGGCCGGAATCAGACTACGCATTAAAGATTGAGCTCTTATTATTTTGATTAGCCAAAATTCAATCTTTCAATCTCAATCTTCAATGCGTAGTCTGATCTGGCGTCACATGGGAGCGGAAATTACAGCGGAACGGAACAGTGAGACCAATCAGAACTCTGCAATCATTTATTCAGCTATCCTTTCTGCGATTATGATTGGTCTCGCTGTAGATTTCAGCTCCATGTGACTCCAGCCCGAAGACTTCGAGAGGCGATTGTCGCGCCGCTTCTGACGTATCTCAGTTTCAGCGTGATCACGTCGACGGTCAGTGTGTATGTATGTACATATGCATTACCTGCCGCACGCGTATCTATGATTACTCCAGTTTACATACGCGCACCACTCCCGTTACTGCGCGTTCGCGATTTTTCTGAGATTCCCGACGTAAGACGAAACTGGGAGCATCGCCGGAATATCGACAAGTTCATACCGACGAGTGAGTGATGGGGGACGCAGCGATGAACGTCGCAGCGTCCGGTGGCAGCGGCGGCGGCGGTGGTGGCGGTGGCGGCGGCGGCGGCAGCGGTGGCAGCGGCAGCGGTAGCGGCGTCAGCGGCAGCGGTAGCGGCAGTCAACGTATCGTTAAAGAGGGATGGCTCCAAAAGCGCGGTACTATCATAATATTTACGTTTTGCCTAATGTTTACCGGAGCCCGGAGCTCCGACTGCTCCGACTGTCGCGCGCTCCTCCCTACGTAGTTACGCATATGAACGTATGTCACGCGCGGACTGGGTGTCACAAATACGTGCCGCTGTCTGTCGTTGAACACATGAAGAGATGATAATGTCAAATTGTTTCTTACGAGATTGTTTACGAAATTATTGCCCGTTCGAAAATACAGGAACGTCAATGAAAAGCCCCATGATGAAATCTCGTTTTCACGTTTCAAGCGAAAACAGAGCCACTTTTACACTTTAGTAGAAGTTAAAAATCTACCTTGTTTTCGTATTATTTTTAAAACAATTGCAATATGTTTATAACTTTGTAGCTCAGTGGATAAAACATGGAAGCAACCAAGCATCTTAGAGAAAATTAGATTAATATTAGACTCTCTATTAAAGAAGCACGTTTAATATAACTTTCTCTTTTATTTCTATTTTCTTTTCTTTTTTATTTTTATTTTATTTATTAAAAAAATATTAATTAAAAATTGTATAATGTCCTTATAGTAAGATTTGAGTGATAGTTTAAATAGGAAAGTTTAAGCATTTAAAGTTTTATTTTTAAAGTTGAATTCTCCTAATTAAGTTTTTATGTATGCAGCATTAAGATGCATATAATTTCTTTGTAGGAGAGCACATTAAAAATTGGAGATCAAGATATTTTGTCTTGAGAGACGATGGTACACTGGTTGGATTCAAGGCAAAACCTGATCCACAGATGGCTACACAAACATCTACCCAGCCCTTAAATAATTTTACAGTGCGTGGGTGCCAAATAATGTCAGTGGATAGACCTAAACCCTACACATTTGTTATCAGAGGCCTCCAGTGGACAACGGTAATCGAAAGGACGTTTCATGTGGAAACGGAACAAGAAAGGGAAGACTGGGTAGCAGCAATCAGGTTTGATTTTAACAGCAATCCTTCAAGTTCCAAAATGTTCTTCCAAAATTCTTTTCAATGTCTGTCTAATCCTCTTCGTCATGTTTTTTTTGCAGATATGTAGCAGATAGATTAGCAAATGAAGAAAATCAACAAGAACAACCACAAATGCAACAATCTTCTTCCTCAGAGGATGTTGATATGGAATCGTCAGTAGGTGCTAGGTCTGACTCTTGTAGTTCCTTAGGTGTTGTATCTTCTGATATAGATGGTGGTAGTATTGATGAATTATCAGCAAAGTTCAGTGTCCAAGGAACTTCAAGTAGTAAAAGTACCGGCAAAAAGAAAGTAGTAAGTTTTTAAACTTGATATTTTTAATTATTTAGCTCTCTCATTTTAAATCTCTCATTTTTTCTGAAAAAGACATTCTCAGTTAGTTATGCTATTATGATGCATGCATAAATAGTATTTATATTTCTACATTGTATAAAGTATTAAACATACAAAAAATAAATACAAAGGTTAATTTTTTTAAATCAATTAATTTATTAATTTATTCAAAGATAATTTTTTAATCATGATTTCTGTTCATGTTTGTTTTAGACACTGGAAAATTTTGAATTTTTAAAAGTTTTGGGGAAAGGAACGTTTGGAAAGGTAATTCTTTGTAGAGAAAAAGCAACAGGACATTTATATGCTATTAAAATTTTACGAAAGGAGGTTATTATTCGTAAAGATGAAGTGGCACATACACTTACTGAAAACAGAGTATTACGTACTACTAATCATCCTTTTTTAATCGTATGTAAAACACTGATTATTTACATTATTATTTTTTGCAATTTTATAATTTATAAAACTAAAGCTGTTGGTATTAAAATTATAATATTATAATATTGATATCAAATTATAATATTGTAAACATATTCGTAAATTTTCAGTCTTTGAAATACAGTTTTCAAACGGCGGACAGATTGTGTTTTGTTATGGAATATGTAAATGGTGGTGAATTATTTTTCCATTTGAGTCGATCACGAGTATTTGGTGAAGATCGTACTCGATTTTATGGCGCAGAGATTATATCGGCCTTAGGTTACTTGCACTCGCAAGGCATTATATACCGTGATCTCAAACTGGAAAATCTTCTTTTGGATAAAGATGGACATATTAAAATTGCTGATTTTGGTTTATGCAAAGAGGACATTACGTATGGTTTGTATAATATAATTCGTAAAGATAAATTAAAACTAATGAAGTGTGTTAAATATAAATTTTGATGAGATTAATTATATCATAGGAAGAACAACAAAGACATTTTGTGGAACACCAGAATATTTGGCACCAGAAGTACTTGAAGATAACGATTATGGACGAGCTGTGGATTGGTGGGGTGTAGGTGTAGTCATGTATGAAATGATGTGTGGTCGATTACCTTTTTATAACAAAGATCATGAAAAGCTATTTACGCTTATTTTATTGGAAGAAGTAAGGTTTCCTAGGACGATTAGCAATGAAGCAAGAGAGATGCTTGGTGGTAAATACTACAAATTTCAATGATTACAAACGTGTTTAAATGAAAAAAAATATATTTGTGCTATTTTTATAGGTTTATTAATAAAGGATCCAAGTAAAAGATTAGGTGGTGGACCTAATGATGCAAAGGACATCATGAATCATGCATTTTTCTCATGTATCAATTGGACGGATCTTGTCCAGAAAAAGATTCCTCCACCCTTTAAGCCGCAAGTGACTTCAGATATTGACACTCGATATTTTGATAGTGAATTTACCGGCGAAAGTGTTGAACTTACACCCCCAGATCAGGGTTGTTTGGGTAGTGGAGGGGGTTTAAATTCTATAGCAGAAGAACAAGAACATTTTCCCCAATTTTCATACCAGGAAAGTCATTCAGCAGCAACTTCTTCCATTGTTTCTATTAATCACTGACAGTGTCAAGTATCTTGCTTAATTAATGTAATGAGATATGGTTCAATGCATGAAAAACTTCGAGCAAAAAAATTTAATTACGATATGTATCTGATGATTGTCTGCAAAGCTTGAAATTTTTCCAATAGGCAGATCGATCAAATTATCTTTCTTTATGATGCTTTTTTTAAATGCATCTTAAGAGATTGTCACATATCTCCAATGGCAAAATAATTAGATTTATGCGTATAAGTGTGTGCGCGCATATTACACCTATACACATAATTATTCATTAAAATTGTATATGGCAAAATGTATACTATAAGATTAGAATGAAATAGTACGAATAATATTTGCATATAGACTCGAAGGAATATGACAGGGATTAAATTAGGTTCTTAATTGAATCGAGTTAACTAAACTCCTTGGGGCATGTATTGTGAATATTGAATAATTTTCTTGTCATCAAGGAATGTGCGGTAATCGTAAGTATAATCTTTCGTTTAACAAAAGCTGCACTTGACACTTTCCAACTTCATTATCATCGTTTATTATCTTATTTATGGAAGGGCAGTTCCTGATCTTTTTTTAATTCAATAGATGACTGTTACGGCATATGCCAAAAATAGAAAATTGCAACTGGCAAAAAGTAAAAAAAGGAGAAAGAAAATAGTTTTCCACTGTGAAAGTTAAATGTGTAGTGTATATCAGCTTTAATTGAATTATTGTATAAATTGGAGATCACTTTTTTAGAGTTACGAAAATTGTCATTATTATGACTGATATAATTGGATATGTGCGAGTATTCGAAAATTCTGGGCTGTATAGAATTCGGAACACTTGTTCGAAACAAATGCTTGACTATTTTTGGAATTGTTTGGAAAAGGAAATTGTTTAAAAGAAACTCGTGGCTCAAATATTTTCTACCTACGTTATTTCCCAACCATCAAAATAATTATAAATACATTATGTGTATAAAAAATATAAATCAAATTCTTTATATTACTGTAATTGGATATTTTTTATTATTGAATCATAAACTTAAAGTTTAAACAATAGACATTCAATTCTATAGTTATCCAGTGCAGTTTAAAGTTTAAAGATAAAATCTTTTTAAAAGATTTCATATCATAACTTTTCTACTTTCACTGGATAAGACATTGGAAAAATTTTTGGACTACAAAATCAATTAACATTTATTAACATATTTAGATACCGTATATTTGAAAGTAATACTTTTTTATATATACATATATAAATTATATTTCATATTTTTATTATCTAAAAAATTTGCATTTTTTTATATGTCAAAGTATTATTTTAAATGTAATTATTATGTAAAAATAATTTTTAATGAAGATGATGAAATATACATACATATATATATATATAATAAAATAAATTATTCATTTTCGTATCATCATGAAAGTGAAACCAAACTTTAACGGTATCAACATAAATTTGTGCATAATTGTGATCAAAGTGCCTAGTAAATATGATTACTCCCTAATGCAAATAATATAATATTTGAAATATTATGAAAATATAAAAATATAAAATAAAAAATCATCACTATCTTATTTTACTTATCGAGGCTAAATACTTAATCTAGTATATCATTTAGATGAACTCACATATTTCAAGAATTCACTGATTTAAAACTTACAAATACTTAAAAAACGTAAAAGCTTATAGTAATTAACTCAGTTATAGGTTTGAATATTGTTAATCACAATTAGAGTGATATTGAAACAATTTGAACAGAACAGCTCGAATGAGTTCTATCCGAAATATAGTCATAAAATACGTGATATGTGGAATTTCGAAATACTCACACGTGTCTAATTATATAAATTTTAAATTGGAAAAAATGTTTTCCTAAGAAACAGTCAAGGCTATTCGTTATATCTTTATGTATCATTAAATAGTGATTAATTATGAGAGTTAGATGGAAATATGAAATCTTATACACTAATACGATGTATATGTACATATATACATATATATTTATATGTATATGTGTGTATATATTATTAAAATTATTATATATACTTATAATAATTATATATATGCATATATTTATATTTTAACAATTAAAGGATTATATTATATGTTTTTTGCATTTACTAATTTTTTACTCGCTCATACGTAAATATCACGCATTTTATTGTTTCTGTATACATTTCGTCCATAGTATGTTCGCTACGTAAAATGTGTACCAAATTCGAATTACAATTATACGTACAATACACAGCCGAAGTAAAAGAAATTTCTTATTTACTATGACAGTACGATTCGATAAATGTCTCTTTTTAATGTGGCTATTTTGGTTTGTAGTATGGCGCTAATTAAAATTATTGTTACATTAATTTATAGGAAAAGCTTCTACATACTGTGGTAAAGATTTCTCTTTCACGAGCCAAACTCTGTCTAAAACAGCACCATCCTTATCATCAGATACCTATTATTAAGTAGAAATAGTTACTTTATAATTTGACAAAAAAAATCATGTTTTCAGAGTTTGTTATAATATTTATGTCATACCTGTTCTAGATATAAATGAGTTTTGTTGAACGCCTTCATTCTTGTATATCCATAATCTGAGCTACGAAATGCGGACCATGCCGGTGGATTTGAAATAAATTTCTCTCGACCTTCTTTACAACCAGCTGATCCAGTAACTATATGTACAGGTGCTTTGTAATTTGTATATGGTTCTTCGTAACTACCATTGTACACCTACGAAGATAATTTTCAACTTATTAGCAAGTGAATATTTTTCCTAAAATAAACTTAATAAACGACATTTACTTGAAAGTTATACATAGGCCACAGCCTTTCGTAACTATGTTCGTGCGCCCAGATTTCTAAATCTACTTTATGTTTGAAAAATAGGTCTTCCAATCCAAACCAATTTAAAAATGGCAATCCAACTCTAACTAGACTCTCATGGTTAGTACAATCATCTGCATTTTTATTACTGCAATACATTGGTCTATGTCCAAATGATACTATCCATGGACGTTGAGCTCTGTAATTGTAATATCTGTGTCAATCATCATTATGGTGTATTAAAATCTAATAACGTACCTTACTTCAGGTTTATTAGCTTCTCGTAGATCTTTATCCAACCATTCATATTGTTTAACCAGTTGTTTTATACCATAATTCATAAAATAATAAGCTTCAGTTTCTATAGCTACAAAATGTACAGGACCTATATTAAAGCTATACCACAAGCCTTCTGAATTACCTGGCATAGTAAATCGAGCTCTGAAAGATTATTAAAAAATTGAATCATTTCATCGATATATAAAATATCGATAGCGAATTGCAAATGACCGGACAAGTACTTGGGCTTTCATAATTCATCTGCCAGTGTTGATATCTATAATGTACGTAATATAAACTAACAATTTTTAGCACAATGAATTTTATAATAAAACCTTAAATAGGAACAAATGTAACAGATACGAAAATACGCATAAACAAATATATCGCGATTGAAATTGTTAGAATTGTTTTTATTCTTGTCAAAACGTTTTATCTTATGGCTCGATAGAGTTTGTATGGTACTCATTTTATCTGTTACGTTCGTGTTACTTTTATATCCCTGATCTCTCCTACCTATAATTGCTAAAATTATATTTTTCTTCGTGATTGCCAGGTACAGTCATGTATGGTATATAAGCAGCAATAGATTCAATTTGTCGCATAAATTCATCTCCTACACGTGCGTCTTCTGTATTCATGTCATAAGCGAAATCACCAACATGAATAGCAGTGTCATATAAACCACGTTCTGTTTCTTCCTGCAGCCGTGACAAACTTTGTGCATTTTCATTACCCATATCACCAAAGATAACTATTTGTGGTGACCAATCTGTAGAGTCTTTGGGTACAGTTCTCATATAAAACACATTTGACCATCCATGATGACTACCACAATGATATACTGACAACGAATAATCAAAAGTTCATTATTAGTACAATAACAATTAAGAATAATTAATAACAATCAATAAAATATATCTTACTATATTTGCTGTTGGGCGTTAAATTCTTTAGCCACACTCTGTGGATATATTGCTTTTGTTTTTTTTTACCACCATCGACAAAAAGAGTAGAATTTCCTTCAGCTCGCAGAACAAAGCCACCTATACCATACTCCACTATCGATTCTCTTGTATCATTTTTTGTGCTCCAAGTGACAACAATATCGTGAATGTTATCTGAAAAAATATTGAGAGTATACAATATCATTTCTTTTAATAAGTACGTATAAAAATGTTATATTATCTATATATAGATAATATATATTTACATATTAATATCATAAAACTCACCACCGTAGGAAAGATGCACAGCTTCTGGCTGATAATGTACTACAGTAGAAAACACAGCAGATGAAAAAGATAAGATCACGAACACAATATGCCAAAGCATCTTGCTTCTAAATTAGAAACAGTATTAGATGATATGCATTAATTGTGACGCTGCAGAAACAGCTCAAGAGAATTAACGTATTTCAATAAAACAATTGCATGCGTTGCTAAATGTATCATACCTGCTGTGATTCAACGTGTCTTATCCTACCTATGTCACACAAAGGAACAGCAAAGAGAAGACAGTTGAGGCTTATATATCAAAGATAATGTATAACCGTATGTTATCATCAAACGCATAGTATTGTCAAGTGTGTCATCGTTTTAACTCCCACCAGTCCCACCACCAGTCCCCCTTGTTTACTTCTATTAGCCACAGCGACCGATCTGTCAATTGTCTGTAATTGCTATGGATAACTATAGATAGTAACCATATGACTGTCAAGCTTGCGTGTGTGTATAGAACAAGCTAGCCAATGACGAGCGCTCACGCCAAATGCGCGCGACGATTGGCTGTAGATAACGTTGGCGGGAGATACTTTGCATTCAATTTCATATTTAACTCTGTTCATTGCTAAGTCTTTGGTTACAATATATTAAACTTTTTACATACTTTTACAACGAAATATAAATATATATAATTACACATTGAAGAGAATAGAAGAAAAAATAAAATAAAAAAGGTTTAACCATAATGAATAATCACTGCTTTCTGAACAAAATTCTACGCTCTTCATATTAATTGCAGTGAGTTAACCTCTTCATAGATAATAAAAATGACAGTTATACATATATGTACATACATAGGCACATATACACACAGTACAATGTAGTTTGTTTTAACAGATAACAGAATAAGATATCGATAACAGAATAAGAAAATTAGAAAAATGAACAATAATATGCATTAAAGTTTTTTGTAATTTTAATTTTTTTTAATTTTTTTCTTTTAAAGATTTAAATTAAAATGTAAAATATAATAACTAAAAACGAATTACATTACTTCTAAATTTTTAATATGAACAATTTACATGATTTTTAAAGCTCATATAAGTGTTTATGTAATCCAAATTTCACACAACACGCGCGCGAATTATAATATTTATATAATCAAGAAACATTCAATTTACTTCGTACAATTTACTTTACCTCAAAAGGATTTAATCCTTCTGAGTAGAAGCACTCTCTATGCTTATTCATCATAAGCTTATAACTATACGTATAAGCAGAATATATGTTGTGAAAAAAAAATATAAACTGCGTTGCAGATTGAATTTGTAGTTATCGTAACAAAAGTTTAACACGCACATTGGCGCAGAATTATCACCTAATTGTGAATTAAATCAGATATCTGAGAGTAAGAACTCATTCAATTTCTAAAATAGTTCTCGCCTCAGTGGTAAGATTTGCTTAACTAGAACGCGAACTCAAGCTTGCCTCACGAGATTGCCTGAGGGTTACTATTAATCTGTACTCGAAGTTAACCGTTGTTCTCGATCGCAGACAATAGGGCGACGTTGATTCCGCGCGGTAATACCGCGATAATGCAATTACATAAGGCGGAAGCTGGAGAAAGTCAGAGAGAGAGAGAGAGTAAGAGAGAGAGAGGTGGGAAGGAGGGAGGGAGGAAGGAACCAGGAAAAGCAGTTACCGAACTAACATCCCCTATATTGATCTTACGATTGTATATAGTTCTCTTTGTCCCGTCTTTGATTTACACGCGCTTCCTGTGCACGTGCAAACGCCGCAGGAACGTAGAAAAATCTCACGGTTCCCTAAAAATAAATAAGTGTCAGAGTTACAAAAATTATACTCAAATTCTTTACAAATTTCTAGATTTTATTTCTATACGTTTATATAAAAAACAAATCTGGAATCTATAATCTCACATACACACACACATACGCACGCACACAAGATTTTATATACTATATATATGTATATATATGCAACTTTTTATAATTTTAATATATATTAATTAAACGCCTTTTATTTATCTTTTAATGAACAATAACTTCTTAAGGCATCTTACAGTTAAGATATCTGCCTTAATATATGTAATTGGAATATTCTTTAGTGCCAATTTTCGAACTTTGTCTTTAATAAATGAAGATTCGAGTTTTCAAAAAAGAATTAAAATTAGGATTAATGTTACAGATATACTCTAATTTCAATTTCCTTATTAAGTAATTCTAAATATGAAATGCCTTTATAAGGAAGTTATTGTTCAACATATATATAGAAAGGAGCTTTATACATATAAAATCTGAAAAAGTTGCGTCATCTTGCGATTATCTCTGAAGCTGCGCACATGTACCCGTTTATCTTTGAATATGACATTCTTAATTCATACGTACGGACTTGGAAGACAGTTCAGATTACCTAGACATTGGATCGTGACGCGATACTCGCAAAGGCTCTTTCGCAATTCTGCGAATTCTGATACCAAAGGAAGCTATCGTGAATATTTTAAGAAACTTGCAATAAGAATTATTTACATTAATCTTTTCACAATAAAAATAGAAGCTTATACTTATTTTCATGATATGAAGAATAATATAAAATGAAGTGTCATAAAATATATATCCTACGTTATAAGAGAGATGTTATTTTTTCACATTAAATATTATTTTTCTCAAGGCTCATATAGATTGATTTGTTTGATAACTGAATCTATAATATCACTGAAATGAAAGCTTTTAGAAAAATATATTTTCTTACCGGTTTCTTACGGTTATAGTTAGAGGAGCGCAAACGTAATATAAGTTTTCTATTCTACTTTCACGACGTAGCGAGGCGGCCCTCTGAGCATAGAACCCCCTTGTGTAAATATCTGAGAGATCCAATATTGTGTTCGCAGAGGATGATCTTATATTCGTGAATTTAATATAGGATATTTGAAATTCTAGTTATATATCGTAATAAAGACTTGGTTAGAATTCTGCGCTTACCTCGCATTAACCTTTTACCAGGTAATAAATAAAAAATCAAATGTTTATGAAAAGAGACGCGCAGAAGTAACAGAAATTTAATATTCTGACATTTGGAACATATTTGATGTAATGAGGAACAGGCAGCTGCGAGCGTATCGCACGAAATATTACATCATTGTTTTTATCTGATTTTCAAATCTCTGATAAAAGTCCGAAAGCCATGAATTAATCAATTAATTTAATTCTAAATTAATTTTATTTTCGTATAACGAATTATGCTGTATATTTAATATTTATTGAGCTGTCTAATATAACGTTTTGACATTTATGAAGAGATGTATAAAAGAGAATGACATAAATTGGATTTTCGAGTTTTAATATATTTTCTGTAATGTATTTTCGTAAACATCTTGATGAAAATAACGAATCGTACAATGAAAAATATATCTCACTTTATTTGAAATTTTAGATCCGGTATAGCATAATTATTTTTTACATAATTATGCCATAATTTTCGTTGAAATTATTGTTTGATAACTGAATCTATAATATCATTGAAACAAAAGCTTTTAGAAAAAGCTTTCATTTAAAATTTATAATTACGCTTAATTTTCGTTGAAAAAAAAGTTAATTGGACAAAAATCATTAAAGAATGTGTAGTCAACACGGCAGTCAAGAGCAGTCGATAAAGTGCGCTCAGTTCTCTCGTAATTTTCATCGTACGATAGATATCGCCAGCGGCGACTTCAGCTGTAACAACATCATCCTCGGTAGCACTGTTCTCGAAATGCATCCTTCCGTCTTCGCGCGAGTCTCCTCGAGGAAATCTTATTAATAATCGCGAGAGAGAGAGAGAGAGAGAGAAAGAGAAATAGAGCGCGTAAATCATGCCAGCTGAAAGTCGTGAGATACCGAGAAATTCCCAAAGCTAATTTATACGATTGTCGCGACTGTGAGAAGCGCACCCTTCTCGGCGTGCCCCGAACATCCCTTACAACCGGCGGCAGAGCGCAGATACGGTATGAAGATTGCAGCGTACGAAAGTCGAAGACCGGGGATTGCCGCCAACGGGACGACGCCGGCGCGGACTATACCGCCGCTGACGCCGCTCCGTGGCGAGGGTTGGCGGCGGCTCCGTGGAGGGTTGGAGGGTTGCTCCAGAGGCGAGAGAGAGCGATGTCGGCAGGGCTGCCGCCGCCGTCGGTCAACGCGCACGTATCACGGGGTTCACACCCATTTCGCGCTGCGGACATCTCGCGCTGTCCTCCAGGGTCGGCCTCGACGTCGTCCGCGAGGCGGATCATCACCACCACCGCCATCCCCACCGCTCACATTCTCCCAAATTAGTCGTGGACTCTGCGATTCGGCTGGGGGCTCGAGACGTTATGCCGCTCCCGAGGTGCATACACACACTGCGCGGCACCGATTAGGGTGGTGGTTTGCGCGCGTGACCGAGGAGGGTGAGAAATAGAGCACGGGGCACAGTTGCGTGTGTCTTAACCTGAAGAACACGAAAAAAGAGAAAAGAAAGAGAGAGAGAGAGAGTGCGTAAGTGAGTAAGTGCGGCGTTTTATACGTGGAAGTCGTCCGAGAAAAATCGTAAGATTCGAATTCGTAGACTCTCCGTTCTCTCGAGACTTCTCTCGACGAGGATTTCGACGTTGATCCTCAACGAGGAAGGGACGGAACGCGAGAGGACGTGTCGTCGACAGCTGAGAAGATATTAAAGCGGGCGAAGGAGAGTGCCGAAAGTCCACGGGACACGTCGGTGGCGCGGTGATGTCGAACGCGAGATCCTCGCGGGAGCTCGTTGCACCAGGTTCGATCCTCGCCTCCGTGCGTCGCCGCGTTATCTGGAACGACACGAGGGACGTCCTGTCGCTCCCGCGAGCGTGATTCAAGCCTGATTAAGTGTCCCATTGGGAGAATTACACGCGAAAGAATTATATGCCGGAAGAGACCCATAAGTCAGACAGACGAATTTTCGCGATCGCGGATCGATCAAGCGAACCGCGCGCACAGCGAACGCGGTAAACATCGATAAGACACGCGCTGCGCGAGAGGAAGAGAGAGAGAGAGAAACGGAGAAAAGAAGAGTATAGCGCGGTTGCGTAAGGTGGAGTGAGAAATAGGCGCGATGATTTCGATCGTCGCCAGGGAATCTCGCGTCAAGTCCGGAATGTCGTGTATCCCCGCGCTACTTGCCAGATGCTCCGTAACGATCGTCGTCGACGTGCGACCGTACGTAGGGTGGTAGCGCGGACAGCAAGATCGGAGGAGCGAGAGCAGCAGCAGCAGCAGCAGCAACGACGGCCAGTAGCAGCTGGTCGGAGCTCTAATACGCGCTTCCGACGCCGTGATACCGCCGCGCGGGGTTGGATGCGGAACGACGGGACGATGGCCGGTGGTGCGTGCACGGAAGCGGCACATGAAACGTTAGTCGAAACGGTGATCAATAATAAGACGCTCCGGTACGTCGAGGGATTGTGAACCGGCGATCGCTCTTCCTCACGTCCCGTGGCTCGCGAGGCTCGTCGCCGTAAGGATGTAGGGGGGCCTGCGATAACGGGCCCCGTAGAGGCGCCGCTTCGTTTCCTCTCCGTTTCCCTCACGCGACGATCGCGAGAGCGATCTGACGACGGGGGAAGTTAAAGCGCACGATTTAACGGAAAAAAAAAAAAACGAAAAAGAGAGACGAAGCAGGAGTATATATATATATAATACGTTAATAATAAAATCGCGGCACACACCAGCAAAGTGTTAAACTTAAACATAATTATGTGTTCCTTAGTCCATCTTTTAGGTGGCTCCGAGTTATCGAGCGTATATCGCAGTTCTCGTCGTATGTAGCAATTTTCTTATACCACCCTCGAGTGGAGCATAGATGCCTTAGTGTCCGTTTAGCGAGAAGGGAAGAGAGGAAGGAAGAGGAAAAAGAGGAAGGAATATTGAACTTCCTCGATGAACGATCGATCGGCGATCTCGCGATACGATCGTAAATACAGCGAGCATGTCGCGGAAGACGCGATTAAATACACGTCGCGATACACGATAGAGAAAAGCCACTCCGAAACGGAAGACTAGAGGAGGCACGAACCGGAGAGCGAGAGAAAGAAGTGCGTTCTGTGTCGTATGAAAAATATAATCGTTGTTAAACCGGCCTCGAAGTAGGTCACAAGGTCGATACTAAAATGAAGTGAAGATGCAAGAGGAAACCGGGAAAATGGCATGTGCTAACGACGTTAATAACGGCGGACCGATTTTTCGGGGCGGACCCGGCGTAGTGTGAAGTAATTAGTGCACGTTGTGCGGGCGTCATTCGCGCGGAGTGTCGCGCGAGGTAATCTAATAGCGGACTACCCCTATGTACGGTGGATAATTACTAGCGAAAATGGTCGATGCATACCTAGGAGGATACGTTATTTTACTGACGAGTGACAACGGGAGGGTCAAGCTCTACGGTACGTAGCGGTTACGTTAGCAACAACGTTATATGATTATTCGACAAGGAGCTAAATATTTCGCGAAATACGCTTCGCGCGACTACAAGACACCATATCTACCTGTGGAGATGAAAAATGTCACAATAACAGATGCCTTTCATTTAATAATACAAGTTGACAGAAGTATCGTTCTACCTTTACTCGCACTAAATGCAAAGAAAGATAAAATGCTTGTGTCGACTTATATCATTAAATGGAAATTATCTGACACGAAAAAATTACATAAATTCTATCAATAATCGCGGTCAATGTAACATTAAATTGATATTATTTTAATTTTCTTGTTCTCCTTGAATAAGCAGAGTATAAATTGTCATGAAATTAACTGAGTTTAGTAGAAAAAAACAGCCTTACAATTGTTGTAAAATTCTGAAATGTGAGGTCTATACATTTTTAAATTCAGTAAGGAAGTGAGGACAAGACTAATCATATTGAGGAATTTTACAACAGTTGTAAGGCTGCTTGTCCGAACGCGATCATTCAAAATAACGTCAAAATGGTTCCAAAACGAATACCGAAAGTCACTTTTCAATCGCTTACAATTCATTTCGAGTCACTTTTTAACGTTACTCTAATCTATTTTTCTACTCGAGCCATTAACGTCCGACATCGAATACTCTAGGAGTATAAACAATCGAGCGATCCTGTCCAGAAAATAGAATACATACGCTAAATTAAATTTTCGATAGCATTCACGTATTTTTGTTTTGTAAGCCATGCATGCCCAATGCTATCTTTATGTTGATACACCCGGCCTTCAGAAGTCTATAAAAGTCTACCAAAGACTACTTGACTACTGCCGTATCTTCTTCTTACGGAATTTCTACATAGTATTTTCAAGTTCTATTGTTAGATTTTCTTTTCTTATGGCGTTTACATCGGCTTGTTGAATATTTGTCGAATGAATCGACAACGAGCATCTCTTTATAGGTACATACGGCTATATCCTCGATCACTCGGGGATACGCGTAGGAATCTAAATGAGAAGTGATAATTTTCTCGTTAGCGATCATCATGCGCACAGCTTAAACGTCATGCACACGTCGCACGCTTTCGGAAGCGGGAAATGTGCGACGGACGGATTTCCGATTTACGCGACGTGTTACAGTAATGCACGACGATTCATATAGAGGACGTGTGTTTCGCGACGTGTTATTTATAGGCTGACCTTTATGTTTACTTATCGTAACGCGCGTTTTATCACCCTGAAGGAGACGCACTTGCTCATTTTATACTTCACTCCTTTTTTCCCTTGATTTCTGTTAAATATTTTTCTCAGAACTTTCAAATTCTATTTTTTTTTTTTTTTTT